GCCAACCTGTGGGTACTGCTGGGCTGGGTTGACTCTAGCCTCCTCCCAGCCATTCCTTGCTGACTCCTGCAGCTCCCTTATATTCAGACTGCAGTGCTGCTATAGAGTTATCCTGGAGCTATTTAAAAAAAGATCATTTTGGATTACAACACTTTGCCTGAATTCTTCTCTTTTCTGGAATTTATCACTTGCCAAATTTTTGGATTCTTCATTGGAAGCAGCAACAATATCAAAGCAACTGTGGCTACCAAGGATTGTCAGGCTCCAAATGAAAGCCCAAATCCCACAGGAGTTAGAAAAGTGAAGATTTGTAGCCTACTAAAATCTAATATCTAATGAAATCTCCAGCACCCCAATGCCACTAAAATGAATCACTTCCCTTCAACAAAATGAAACTGCCATACCTCCTAGGTTTTCTCATAGTACACTCAGCCAACTGTAATTTCTACTTTACATATATATAATTTGCTTTTGTTATAAAACTCTGAACTCTGAGAAATATATTGTCCACCTGTTACTGTCTTCCAGAACCTCCAGCACTGAACCAATAATGCAACCTTTCGTAGAAATACTCCTTACTCTCCACCATGAACTCCTTGGGGCAAGAATTTTTTTCCCCTCTTTTTGTGTGTTGTTCCTGACACAGCAGGGGCCAGATTCACATTAAGCAGCACATAATAGGATCTACAGCACAATGAGTGATAGCAAGCAGAGTGGTAAATGATATCATTTAGTGGATACTGTCCCTGTGGTTCACTGATGGTAGTTTTTTATTGAACAGGTGTTTCTTCAGAGTTTCTTACTGATCTAAAAGTCTGTCTCTATCATTATGCCTGTCTGGGCCTCTATTTAATGCTTTCCTGCTGCAGCTCCTCTTTTTCTGTCCCTCTTTCTCAGCCTCCTTCAGGAAGCTGGAGACTCTGTTCCTGTGCATCCTTTTCTTTTTCTTTTCCTTTCTTCTCATTTCTTTTCCTTTCTTTTCCAATTTCACTTCCCAGCCTGGTAAGCAATGTGGACAGTCAAGTGCTTCTGAAGGCCACGGTGGGACTGCTACCACAGAGAACCAGATTTGCCCCTAAACCAGAGATGAGCCTCATAATCACACACTTCAGAACATGCAGCAGGAGCCAATACAAGGCTGCTTGGTATATTTCTATTAATCATCTTGCCCTCATCCCATCTGCCACCTCTTTGCTTTGGTCTGGCTCACCCAGCTTCCAATTTTATAGCACTCAGTGCAGAAGAGCAAACTGAATCCAATCTCTCAGCACAACCTCCAGCACCTGCTGTTTCATATTGGGATCCCAGCTCAGGCTGTTCAGTCCCAGCCTCTCTTCTCTTGTTTGTACCACAGGTCCCATTAGACAAAATGAAAAATTAATTACTAAGTACTAATTAGTACTAAGTACTAATTAATTTGTACCTGAACTTGGAAGTTTCACATGCATTGTTGAAAAGAAACAAAACAGCTCTGCTCTGTGTGGAAACACCTTTTGACTATGTCTTCTCATCATCTGCAGGGCAGCAAAGCCAGGAGCCCAAGCTCACCCTGGGAGCTCATCTCTGCAGGTCAGAAGCGAGAGATGCAGGTGAATAAATGGAGGGAGAGAAAGCAAAACAGGGAAAGATAGGCAAAATTCCATGGCTTATACCTTATGTTCCTTTGAATAACACTTATATGAGTGTTATTAACATTTTTAAAAGCTAGTGAAATTTAAACAGAAGTAAATAATCAGAGCAGTGTGTTTACCTCCATCAGTTTTACCTGTTTTTTATAACAAAGTTTCTCAACAGTTCATAAGTTTTAAAGAAGATGCTTTTAAAATCATAACCACAATGTTTGACTTATCACAGATCCTGAGGCCAGGGTGTTTTCTGGCACAATATCCAGTGCAGGAGGCAGGGCAGGAGGAGGCAGCACTGGAGTCAGGCAGTTCCAAGCACTGTCTGATGAAGAGGGTCAAGTCCCAACAGCCCCAAGCTGCCCTTTGATACCACAGCCAGCTGTTTCCTGAGTTTTGCCCATGTGCTTGCCCCTGAGGAATACCTTGCCGTGCATGGCCTCTCTCTGCATTGGCCATTCATGGATTTCAGCAGGCACAGCAGATCTCTGAACGAGACATGATTGTCCTTTTTGTACCAAAATCAGCTCAGTGAAATGATGAGCCTGGGTAAACTAATGGAAAACCTATTATCCACCAGTCTAGTTCTACTTTTGCTCTTTTGCTTTCTTTTGGAGAATGGTACCTCAGGCATTGACTTATTTGACATTCATTACTTTTTCTGGAGCCCAGCTGCATTGGCTCTACCCCTCATTTCTTTTCTTCACAGTGCAAATCATTTTGATGCCTGCATAGCTCTGAAACAAAGCAGCCATTTCTTCCTGCTCTGCTCAGCCTGGTCCTTCTGCTGGAGATAATTCATGTGCCTACTGTTCTCATCCATCCCTGGAAAGGGGGAGGGCTGGGCTATGTTTAATAAAAAATATCTTACATTGTTTACTGACCAAAGAGTTGTTCGACAGATGCTCCATTCTTAGCCATGCTTAAATTATTCCCTAAGCAAACAATACAAACTGGACACTTCATCTTACCCAACACAAAAATAAACAGAACACACAAAATATATGGTTCTGGTTTAAGTTCCCATATAAAGAACACTGATTTCTACGTTGCTTAAATATTTTCTGCATAAAGTTTGCTCGGTAATTTGTTCTTTCACTGGCTACAACAAATTAAATGTCAAAACCTGTTTATTTTACGAATTTTTAAGACTGATAGTGAGTCTCCTATTTCAGCTTAAATAATGTTGTTGATGAGATACTTCTTGATGGATTGTATAAATAAAGCCAGATACAGAGATTAAAAAAAAAGATCTAGTTTTTTCCCCATTTTTCTTAGTTTACCAAAGAGGCAAGTGAATAAAGAGAACAGCTCTATTTTCCCTAAAACTTCTCAGGTGTTTGGGTCTCTTGTAGAGAGAAAAAAAGACACTACCTACAAGATCACTGCAGATCTGCTTTGTTGCTTCAGGGTCCTTCCTACAACATCCCACTGTGTCATGTCTCAGATGCAGCCAAGAGGCCAGAGGGGATGGGGTGAGGCTGGAGCTGGGGTGTCCCAGAGCACTGAACCAGCCCCCTCCATCTCCCAGTATGGCCCAGGCTGCAGGGACCCCTGGAAAACCAGACTGGGAGCCGCTGAGGCCGGTCCAAACCACAGAGCCCCTGTTCCTCCTGGCCAGGGCCATCCCCTGATGGGCTCTGCCCAACCTCGGACAAGCCAGCACAGGCAGTGCAGCCCTCAGCCCAGCCTCACATTCCTGCACAACAGTGCAGACACTGCCATGGAGATGGATAAAAATCACTTTTCACCCTGACCTTTGAAATATGGAGCTACATCAGACATACCAAACACCAGATCTCATCTGGAGTGAAAATATCCAAGGATCTGACCCATCATGGACCTTAATCCCAGGCTCACTCTGGGCTCTCGAGGGCTGCCACATAGTTTGGAATAAGATCCTGGCTGAAGTTTACACATGCACTTAGTGTAAATATTTCCCACTAATTGAACAATTTGCTACAAGCTGTAAATGGATTACAACTGGCAAAGACCTTTTGTATCTCTGAAGCCACCTTATGTTAATTCACAAACAAATTATACCAATTTACTTCACACAAGAAGGCAGAAGGAGTAAGAATCAATTTAGAAACACCCTGGCACTGCCAGGTGCTTACTATAATTTTCACTGCAAAAGCAGATGTTGGGCTGTTCTCTTGCTTTCTTGAAGCTAAAAACCAAAACAATGTGTAACACAGGTCTCCAAAGCCCCAGAGCTGCCATCTACCTGCTGCCAGCATCTCCTGCCAATTGCCATGTGCTTGGAGCCCACCTGGGATGAATTTTTGTATTAAGACTTTTGTAACAGGGTCAGGAACAAGCTCCTACCTTGCTTTCACTACTGACAGACTTAAAATTGTCAGCAGCAATGAGTGGAGGGGTTGACAGGACCCAGTGTGTGTGTAAATCACATGCTGCAGCAGGGCTTCCCCTGGGGACATGTCAGTACTGGCTTTTTGGATGTGTATCACCATGTCACTTCCCACCAAACATATATAAAGAGAAGTCAAACAAAAGAATAAAATGTCAGGGAACTCATGGATCTGATTCATAGGGGTGTTTCTTCAGATTTAGGCAATTGCACTCAAAACCAATTGCACTCAAAACTGCTTCAGAAATGCAGAAAAACTGAATGCAGAGACCAACAGTAGAAGCAGAGCAATTTCTGTGAGTAGTGATGCAGGAGCAGTGACGCAGCCCTTGAGGGAAACAAAGGATGCAGGTGGAAAGAGAAGAAAGGAGATTGCCTCAGTTTATCAATTACTAATGCAATGAACAGATTAACAAAATGGGGAAGGTCTGGAGGTAAAGAAATAATGCTCTGGCTGTTGCTGAGCTCTGCTGTTCCCTCTGGGATCAAGTGGCAGCCACAGTGGCTCTTGCAGGAGTGCTGGGTTCTCAGCAAGGGCACAGGTGGGTGATGGGGATGGATGGCTGGAGAGGAGATATTCTCAAGGAGGAATGAAAAATGCAGCTCTTCAGATAACTGGGATGTTTCTCTGGCTCTTGGTGAGGGTGGACCAGTGAGGGTGGACCACCACCACTACTGGTGAGAGTGGACCAGTGACAGACCCTTTTGTTTATGCTCTCAGTCTGAGGATGAAAGAGCATTTTTGGACACTGAAGGGGCAGGAGGGATGGCACTGACACCTTCCCAAGGAAGACAGACACAACGCACACCAACTGTTTCTAACATCAAAGAATTCTGAGACTCCACCATCTTTTGTACCAGTGGGTATTCCCAAAACAAGTGTAGAAATATTGGTTTCATTTCTCTCCATAGCCAGCAGGGTGCTTGTCTTGACTTGGCAGCAGGGATGAGACAGCTGGGCACAGAGGTGTTTCCTCTGTTTGCCCAAGGCTCCTTGGTGAATCCCACCTCTGTAAAACTTGGAGGACTGGATCCTAACACTCCCAGGAACAACCTGCCCAAGTGGCCACTCTACAAATGAGATATGGGTCAGAGGAGTGTTAAAGAACACAGAATTATAGAAGGGTTTGGGTTGGAAGGGATCTTAAAGGCCTGTTTCAACTCCCTGCCACAGGAAGGGACACCTCCCACTAGACGAATTTGATCAGAAACAGTAACAAAAGTGGCAGGATCCATGCAAAATGGGTTCTTCATTAAAAAAAAATTTTGACCGAAGTTTATTTCTTATGCAGCAGCAGTGCTAAGAGGGAGGGAACATCTCTTGGAGCTTCTCACTAAGAAATTCCAGACTCAAGAGAAAAGACCTGTAACTGAGACAAAGAGGATTTACTTCAGTTCTTTTTGTATCCCTGTAGGTTGCTGAGTCTTTTCTCAGTGAATTACAATAGATCGCTCGGCTCAAGATCTCTTTACAGTCTTCTGAAATTAGTTCCAATAACAAGTGATGGAAATATTCCATTCAGGCGAAGGATTAGAAGAAGATACACACTTGGTGTGAAAATTAGCAGCTCATAAGAACAAAATTATTATTTCCTCTCCACCCTACCACCAAATCTGCAGTCAGTAGCAGGTTCAACCAGCTGAAATTAAGGGCTGTTTCACATTTTAAGGGGGCTGAAGGAGTCACCCACTCTGCTCATCATCTGTTGGGGGTCAGACCAGATTTGAGAAGACCTCAAGGCATGAGGAGTGGCTAGGATCCCAGCAAGAGGTGGGTACAGCCCTTGGGAAGGAGCTGAGGTTCAGCCTCCCCTGTCAGAGCACAGTTCTGCTGTGCCTGCCACAACCCTACACACAGCTCATGGTGGAAGGAAACACTGACATCCTACAGGAATGGCTCTGTTGCTCCTCTCGGCTATTGTGAGGGGAAAGCTGAGCACACTCTCTCATCCCTGTGCATTGGTCATGTCATGAAGCACTGCCATGAATCTGCTCTCCACTGATGGACTGAGCTGTGTGAAAGAGCTACCAAATACTGCCTGAGGGTTCAGAGTTCTCATCGAGGGAAGTGGCACATTCAGAGCTGGTTCACTGGGACTCAGAGCTGGAAAATGCTTTCAAAATGCACTGAATAGAAATATAGATCAGTAGAAGAAATACATCATAAAACGACTCTTCAAACATCACTGTAAAGGGACCCAGTATCACCAATATGTTTATGGCATGTTTGCTTGAGAAAGAGACTGTGAAAGGCATTATTCTGTGAATATCGGTGTATTTTCTTCTGCAGGATGATACAGCACAGACCTATCAAAGCAGGCCCCAAGGTTGGAGCAACCCAGATTATCTAGAATATAAAAATTTACAGTCATCCATCGCCTGCAAAGGCAAAAAGATCACTTGGCATTGAGTAAGTATAGCCTCATTATCATTGTAACTTAATTATTGTTTTTACTGCAAAGCTTTTCCCAGTGTCAGATCCACAATCATCTCTAAGAGGCTTATATTCCTCCTCCTGTAAATCAAACTCGGAACAAATAAAATTTTGTGAAATTTTGCTGACCTCCTGCTGTTGCCTTTGCATTAACCTGCCCCAGCCAAATCCCTGTGTGTCCTCTTGGACAAACAGTTCAACTCCTTCCACCAAAATTACACAGTAAATTTGCAGACCCCTTGTTTTTCACTATTCCATTACAGAGTAGAAACAACCTAAGACTTGTATAAAAAGTGACCCCAAAACATGAGAAACTTGCAACCTCTGCACAGATCATCTCTGAACTTGAGAACGTGCTCAGTTAGTTAGCTAACAGAAATATTTACCCCCCTTGAGGAAAAATGCTCAGCCACAGATTTTTATCTAACAATATCTCTAGTGACAGCTTAACATGGAATTTGTACTCAAAGGGGTAATTTAACTGCAACAAGCTTTTCCTACAAAGAACACTGAAAATTGCACTTTCTCTGGTCGATAGATGCTTTCATTGTTTCTGGTATAATGTTCTCTCAGTGTATAGAAGATTACTCATATTTTGTTACTCACATTATTTACAGACATAGGTCTCAACATATACACAGGTATTGTGTGTACCACTGAGATGTTGGAAAGAAAAACTGCTGAGATTTCCACCTCTCTAAAAGAGAGAGGTTTGAACCAGTTCCCAGATGTCACATGACAGTTAAAATAGAACTATACTCATGTTTTTATTCAAATAACTACTCTAAAATTACAAAAGATAAGTACTACCTTTCAGCATGAATAAACTTGAATACATGCTAAAAATAATCCCACATTAACTTCTGAAGTCACTGCCTTCTGGAAGGTGTAAATGGATAGAGTTTGCTATTAGATATTTTACATAACCATATGTCAAAAAATTCAATAGTATGAAAATTGCATATCTGCAAAGAGATTCTGCAGCATTTTGAGAGGTAGTGTCACTTTTTTTTTTTAAACAGCAACTCAAATCTTTTATCTAAGATGAAGATTTTTGATGCGAATAATTTTTACTCTGGTGACATAAAAATTTTAGGGGATGGACAAAGAGGTCTGAAATAGTCTAAGAATTAAGGTACAGTTCTCTCACCCCCACTTAGAACTGTTTGTACTTAAGAATGTGAGTAGCCCTGATGAAAACAATGAACTCCACTGCAGAGAAAGGGACAACTCCAAAGGAGGGCAAGCATGTCTGAGCCACTTCTAATAAATGTCCTCTAGTGGCAGACTCTGGTTTCAGCTATAAACCAGAATCCTCTCCTTTTTGATTTTTTGCATATCCTAGTAGATTTGTACCTCAGCCAACTGGTAAGAACAGCACAGGACATCACCTTTTGGCTCTGCTGCCATGGAAGGTCCTGAGGCTCCTGCAAGCTTAGAGAGGAGTTATTTACTCTATGTCACTTACTTCTTATAAGGTTCCCTCAACACAGTGTGTGGCATGGGATAGAGGGACAGCAATGCTTCAACAGCTGTCTGGGAGCTTCCTGAGGAAGGGCAGTGCTGGGCTGTGTGTGTTTCTCATAACTCAGAGGACAATTTTCATCCTTGATTCAGGCATTGCTTTCAGAAAATACAGCTGCTGAGCTTCACCAGGAGAATGTCTGGAACTGTGAATAATAAAAGATGTATTAACTCAAGTACACAGATTACAAGATATAGCACAAACAGCTTCTTTCTATATGCAGGGGGTGAATTCTGTAAATCCAAGTAAAGCAATACCATAAGTAGGCAAAATACAATACAAAATGAATTTGTAAGTACTAAGCAAAGAGTTTGAGAACTATGGCAAACAGCAACTTCTGAGCATTTAAAATGTGTAAGATTATTCCTGACTGGAACAGAATTCTTCAGGACTCATCATTTGGGCTGCAGTGTTAAACACAGGATCTCTAAATACCTTGGCCTTCACTCTACCACTTCAGTACACATCTGAGTTACAAAGACAGGTTTTCAAAAATTATGGTATATATTACTATGAAAGAGTTCTACTTTCTAACAGTATAGTGGTATCCAAATTTCAAGCTGATAAGTGTGCAGTGAGACTCCTTAATTTTACTCAAAGTTCCAGTGTCAGGGAGGAAATGACATACTGGACCAGTTCCCAGAGAGAGTTTGTAAATTCATTCATGGTCTCTAAACTCTGTGCATGTGAGCTCGTTTTCCAATGTGTTACTAAGGCTCGACAACATTGAATAGCTTTGGGGCAAGAAATTCCCTGTAGAAATCCCAGGAGAGGATAGCATTTCCAATACAGAGTCTTTCCCTGTAGTGTCCAACTCAACATCCAGAACTCGTAGGACAGAATGACTTAATCTTTCATTACTGAGATCTATTCAGCATTTAGCTTCACAGTTCTCCCTGCTCTAAGTTGGTTCTGCTCTGATGACTTCACCCTCTGGCAGTATAAATGCCTGCCTCATTTGGACATCAAATACCACACACTGGGGGTGGGAGGATTTTGAAAGTCCACAGCTCACCCTTCTGTCTTCTGACATGCATCAGAAATTTTCCCTACTCCAACTTGAGCATAGAAATCCCAGCACAGGCTTTCTTTCACACCCAGTCACTGCAGTCATACATTTGTAAATCATTCTCAGCTGTGGATACTTATTATTCAAACATCTCTTCTTTTATCAATAAATATCCTTCAAAGCCACGTCTTTGCTCTGTAACAAATTTGAATTCAGCAAGCAAATTTTAGGCATTTTTTAAAGATCCTAACAATATGAATGTACAGTTAAGAATCTTTATCTTTGCAATCAGTCATTTGCCATCATTTTCCGTCTCTCTACTTTCAAGTTTTAACAGAACTGCATGATATTATGTCTTACATAATAGAGACTAGATAATTACCAAATGTCCCACATGTTGTAGGTCATTCTCACAGCTGTTCATGCTTAAACTCTTGCCTCCTGTTTCTCCATGAGCAGGCATCCTACCAAGTTTTGATGCACACAGTAGACTGGGTAGAGAAAAAGGATTCCTTTCCATTAACAAAAAAGGAAAAGGAAAAAGCAAAAAAAAAATTGAACTATCAGAGCAACACATTTTAATTAGGCTGATAAATAAATCAGTCAAAAAAAGGATCAGAATCTTTAATGAGATGGAAAAATTTATCCAGGTGTGAATTTGAGGAGTAGATGCTGAGGGCAGCCTGGAATCTGGAACAGAGACAGGAAATTATACAAACAGCTGCAGGAGAAGCGGGGTTATTTTATTTACATGAGACACAATAAGCAGCATGGCCCCTGACACAGGGATTCACAAGGAAATCCACATTGCAGGACTCTAAGTGACTGACACTTTGGATCTCGAGGTACAGAATTCCGGAGGCTCCCACAGCCTCATGTTTGGAGGAAGGTAATGAGAGCATTTTGTGAGCAAAGTAGGTCATGGCTCAGCGGGAGAGGCACGTTGTCACATCAAACTATGAAGATGCACATCTTCCAGGAGTGTTTCTTTTCTCCTGCAGTTGTTTTGTTTAGCCAAGTATAATCTGTATTTTAAGGCAAACGAGATGGTGTTTACTTATGGGTCACCTCATTCTCTCACAGGGGCTTTGTGAAAAGGGAAAGTGATTGGGCTGCTTCACCAGAAAAGATGGTGATTTGAGTAAGCAAGCTCAATTGTCTGAACAATATTCTGAAAATGAGTGAAAAATATTGTATCAGGGAACAAAGGGAGAGTCACAAAGAATTACTCAATAAGAAACAGCAAGCCAACTTTCATAGGATTTGGGTGATGTGGATATCTCCTGAAATTATGCTTCACTGCAGTATCAGTCATGATGGAAACAAGACACGTGCAGCAGTGTCGTTCCACAAGTGGAAAATTCCAGGTGACAAAAACCAAAGCAAAATTCAGTCACACTGTATTTCTGATAGCTCATGCAAACTGCAAAGTGAGCCCAGAAATCTCCCAAAGAAGTCTGAGGGGCAGTGATGTTTTACCTGCTATCCCACCAGGAACAAGACACTGATGACAGGAATGATTGAGGCTGGATTTTGACACTTGAGCATACATAGAGTAGGTGTAGGGAAGATTACAGTTATGCACACAGATGGAAGAAGTAGATCACTGGAGAACAGAAGTGTGACAGTATTAAGACAGATAAAGTAATTTATTTTATAGGAAACGATTATACAGTTGAGAATCGTGGGGTGCTTTCCATCAAAGTGAAAAGAAAAGAATATCGGATTTTATTCCACATGATCCACAAGATGTGTCATGTGCTTCTGATGGAGTCAGAGACATAAAATGGTTCAGAGAGTGGGTGAACATTTGGATTTCTACCTGATTGACAATGTGCAAGTCAGGAAATTGGCCCAGCATCAATGAGTATCTCATTAATTTTAGCATTAAATACTGTCAACACTGAGGGAAGAAAGTCATGTAACAGGTTCAGAATCAAGACGTTGTCCTATATTTGAAGAATCAGCATTGAAATTAATATAATTTTACTAATTCCCTGTCCCAGGCTTTGCCCTGTGGAAGCTGGAAAAATTCTTGTGTTTAGGTGTGGGGTTTTTTGACCAGTGTTTCTCAGGGTCCATTTAATCTAGTAACCAAACGTAAGAAAACCCCAAAACTCTTCTGGCAGTCACCCACTGGGAGTTACCTTGATGTCGGCAAGAACTTCCACCCAAATCTGGCAAAACATGGTCTTCTGCTTGGAATTATAGGATTTTGTATTGCTTTCCAGCAGTGACACCATGCACAGATCAGAAAATATTCTGCATTCAGGTACTAATGCTCCTGTCTTCTGTCCCAGGTAAGGTGTGCACAAAGCAGAGCTGATACCTAGCAGCAGAAAATTTGTATTCTTTGTGTTCTGGCATGCTGAGGCCAAATTCTCTCTTATAGACAACCTAGGAGTTCTACAGAAATTAAAATATGAAATCTGAAATTCTGCTTGAACAGGATGGAAGAAAATTAGTCTTTAAGGAGGAGAAGTAATTTGAGGTAGCTCAAAATTATTTCATAAATTAATTGACTTTGAAATAATTGGTAATGCTATCTAGGCACCAGGTAGGCAATTATTTATTTTATAAAGTAAGAGTTCTAAGGGATGTTGAAATTGGAGAGCAGAATACTTGAATAAAATACATGGTTTTTCCTGCTAGTTTTCCATAATGTTATCAGTAAAACTCATACAGACAGTACAAAGGCATCAGAGCCTTTCAAAGCCTTTTGTGCATTCTTCCTCTGCACATTAGAGAGGGAGATATTAAGAGTTGAGCAAGTCATCAAAAGAAACGTATTTGCCTAAATTCTCTTTGTTTGAGTAGACTACATATTTTCTGAGGATCTGAGTCCAGAGACACCAGATGGTTGTTTTTCTCAGATATTTAGGCACCTACACATGCAAATAGGTGCCTAGCAGTATTTTCAAGCATGTTCAAACACTTCATTCTCTAAATAACCATTAAAAATATTGATGCAACATTTTCATCCTACGATTTTTTTTCTAAAATATCAAAGGAAAAAAATACTTCTGTAGAAATTTGTAACTGAAGAGATGAGCACCCCCAGGCTACAGAGTGGGGACCACACAGATCTGGGATATTTCTGCCAAATGCAACACTAGACAGTAGAAAATGATGGCAGAAACTCTAGGAACAACCTGACACTGGAGGAGTTAAAAACTGCAGTTAAAGAGAGATTAAGAGCTACAGCCAAATTTAGCTGTGTTGAGACCATGTAGTTAAACATCTCTGTCCTTCCCTACCTTCCAGGATGCCCCAAAACTGAATGGGGACACAAAAATCTACGTGGGAGGGGTGATTTGAAGAAGTTCAGCTGACATTTACCCTATAAAAATTCAGCAGAGCCCTGAACCCCAAAAAGAAAAGAAGAAAGCAGCTCAGAGAGAAGATGAGAAGTATAAACACTAAACAAAAATACCAAATTTAGTCTCTCTTTTCTAGGAACGTGGATCTTGTGTAGCTGAATGCCAGCAGGGCTCTCAAAGAGCCTATGCTGGGTTCTGCTGAAGAGGAATAGGGTGTTGCTTCTGTTCTTAAGAAGAATACATGTTAAGAAGAATATATGATATTTTGTCCAAAGGTACTTTATTTTTAGATTCCTGACACTTCAGTAAATTAGTTTATAGCAAAATACAAAGGGAGATGGTCTTGGGGAAAAATTAGGGAGTTTTAAAATGCAACAAAAAGTTACAGGGAAAGATCTCTTCGTTATAATTGATAGTTTTGTCTCAAAGGGAATTAACAGAATTTTATGGCTTTGATCTTCTAAGGAATGAGGTTCTTAACTTCATTAGTCATTTTGCTTTAGTTTCAGTATGGATGCCACAAGAGAGAAACCCCCAGCCTTTTAAAAGGGGCAATCCTCCTACATTTGTTACAGCTGCCCTACTGAAGTTCCATTCAAGAGAGTTAAAGAGATTTTGTGGTAGAAAATCCATTATCATTAATGAGCATTCATAATTAATGGCTGGCCTGATGTAGCCTTTGAGAGGGATCACAGCTTTTCTCCTTATGATCTTAATGCAACAATTTCACTTTATGATCATAACCTTTCTCTCTACTTAAAAACTTAACAATGGGTTAAATGATAGCAGAAGTTAGATAATTCCACTATTAACCAAAGTTAAAAGCTCTTTAGTTTGCTGTTCTCAGAGACTGCACTAACTGTTCTGATTATAAAGCATGAATTTTAATAACAATACTGTACTGTACTCCTCACCTGCATAGGTTTAGAACTAATTAAAATACAACAGGAATGTATCTGCTTCTTTCTAGGCAAGGAATATGACTGAGTAACAACATCTTCTTGCATCACCTCAAAAGAACCATCTCTTGCTAACCATCTCTGCTTTCCTGTGCAAAGTTAAAAATCAGGTGAAGTTTTTACTTTACTAATGGGGGAAACTAGTTGCAAATATTTCTGTTTGCTTTATATTTTATGCAGCCTTAGGAGCACTGTTACAGGTGGGAAAAAGAAAATATTGTTTTTGTAATTGATAATGGAGTTTGAGTTTTTCAAATTTATTTCCATTAAATTATGGCAATGAAATTAAAACCAGTTTTCTTGCTCCATGAAGGAGCAGATGTTCCAGAAGCAGTAAGATTTTAGATTATTAAAATAACCCTTGTCACACCCTGATAGATTTTACTTCCAGGTACATTCAATAAGCACAGGTTGCAGACCAGCTTTGCCAAGGGCATTTTCCAGCTTTGCTGGGAGTGGCCAGTGAGGACCAGGGCACCCCATGCCCTGCCATGGAGCATTTCTCCAAGGCTTCCCACAGCACAGGCTGCTCCAGCACACTGCACTCCCATCCCCTGTGACAGCGTGGGCAGGCACCTTGCCTTGATTGCTGATAATTACAGGCTCAGGCAATGAGAGCCGAGGGCACGGAGCTGTCACAGCTGGAGAAGAGGATGCAGAGGACTCACAGGGATAAGCTGTGCCAGCCACAAGGATGGGGAAGGTTGGGTTCAACTCCTGCAGGCATTGACAGCTGGGATTCCCACTCACAGATCTCGTTTTCCATCTCTCCTGGCAGCTGGGCTTTCTTCTCTTCTGGCTCTCCACAAAGGTCTGACCAGCAACCTCTCACAGAAAGGAAGAGAGGGTGCTCCAAGGTTTGTGGAGAGACTGAGAAATCTGAATCAGCAGAAAAATTTCATCTGATTCAAGGCTGGGTCTGCATAGGCAGGGACAATGCATTGTCACTTCTATAATAAAATGTATCTGAAATAGAAAGTGCTGACAATATGTATTAAATCCTCTGGGGCTCAGAGTCTACCACAGAGCAAGGAATAACAGACACAGAAACCTGATGTACAGGTCTAAGAGGTTTTTGTCTCCCTTTTTGGGTGAATATCTTCAGTGAGCAGTACAAATCTTTCAGATCAGCTCTTCTGCAGTAATGGAAATGATGAATTTACCCTTCCCTTCTACATCTGCATGTGTTTTAGAGAGCAGAAAAATAGGGAAGAGGTTGCTTTTCTCAGTTAAGGATTTCATAGAAAGAAATTGAAAGAAAGTTTTGTTCTGCCATCCTACAGATAATTTACTTCAGTTTGGGACACAAACGAGATTCCAGTTGATGGAAAGCTTGTCTCTGCTGAGGACAGACCATCCCTGCCATGGGCAGGTCATGTTTTCAGAGGTGTTCTGTGTGTTTCAGAGAAGGTTTCTATCATAGCACCAAAAAGATCCTAGACAAAAATAAGCAATTTGATTTCTTAAGTCAGATTGTTCTGAATGACAAATTAGAAATCACAAAACTGTTTTTCTTTATCAAGCAGCACACAAGCAATTAAACTCCCCAGTCCCTGGCCTGCTGGGGAATGCTGTGTTCAA